CAGTGTGTCCGGTGTCATGGCGGCGTAGGTACTGTTGCCATGGCGACACGTGACGGTGCAAAGTCTCTGTACTCAGGTCATGAACTCCAGAAGCTGCAGTGATGTTTTTACACTGTGAGTTTCTCTCACATTAGTTCTTGTCAAACCCGTTGGTTTATCAGGTGTTACAACTTTTAAACCAACAGGCGAGTTTCAGATGACGTCATTGTTGACAAAAGCGCACGTTGCATGATGGGAAATATTTTGGTCGGCGGCAAGACTGATCCTGGTCATTTCTCCAGTCTAACGGCAGACGACCCAAGACCATCTGACCACAAACTGGTCATAAACATCGACGGACGACAAATCCCCCTTTTCAACCCCGACAGAGTCTGGACCAAACCAAACGTCTGGTCTGAATCTCCAACTCCCTGGACAAATATTTATAATAATAATATTATTATCCACAATGACTTGGTGAAACTCCTGGATCATTCACAGCAGAAAAGATGAAAACCTCCAAGAGTCTCGGAAAAAACAAAAAAAGCATTTGGGGAAACTACAAAAATAATAATAATAATAATAACTGCTCCTGGTTTAACATCTGATTTTTAATTTGAAGTGATAAAACTTTCAACAAGACCTGGTTTAGTCCTGGTTTAGTCCTGGTTTAGTCCTGGTTTAGTCCTGGTTTAGTCCTGGTTTAGTCCTGGTTTAGACCTGGTTTAGTTTCCCTGGTTTAGTCCTGGTTTAGTTTCCTGGTTTAGTCCTGGTTTAGTTTAGTCCTGGTTTAGACCTGGTTTAGTAGACCCCTGGTTTAGACCTGGTTTAGTCCTGGTTTAGTCCTGGTTTAGACCTGGTTTAGTCCTGGTTTAGACCTGGTTTAGTTTCCTGGTTTGACCTGTTTAGTTTACCTGGTTTAGTTTCCTGGTTTAGTTTAGACCTGGTTTTAGTCCTGGTTTAGTTTTAGACCTGGTTTAGTCCTGGTTTAGACCTGGTTTAGTCCTGGTTTAGTCCTGTTTAGAGTCCTGGTTTAGTTTTAGACCTGGTTTAGTAGACCTGGTTTGGTTTAGTCCTGGTTTAGACCTGGTTTAGTCCTGGTTTAGTCCTGGTTTAGTAGACCTGTTTTAGACCTGGTTTACCTGGTTTAGTCCTGGTTTAGTCCTGGTCCTGGTTTACCTGGTTTAGTCCTGGTTTAGTCCTGGTTTAGTCCTGGTTTAGTAGACCTGGTTTAGACCTGGTTTAGTCCTGGTTTAGTCCTGGTTTAGTCCTGGTTTAGTCCTGGTTTAGTCCTGGTTTACCTGGTTTAGTCCTGTTAGTTTTTAGACCTGGTTTAGTTTAGTCCTGGTTTAGTCCTGTTTAGTCCTGGTTTAGTCCTGGTTTAGTCCTGGTTTAGTCCTGGTTTAGTCCTGGTTTAGTCCTGGTTTAGTCCTGGTTTAGTTTAGACCTGGTTTAGTCCTGTTTAGTCCTGGTTTAGTCCTGGTTTAGTCCTGGTTTAGTCCTGGTTTAGTCCTGGTTTAGTCCTGGTTTAGTCCTGGTTTAGACCTGGTTTAGTCCTGGTTTAGTCCTGTTTTAGTCCTGGTTTAGACCTGGTTTAGTCCTGGTTTAGTTCTCTGTGTTTAATCCATTTATTTCAACAAAGTAACTGTAATCCAATTTCCACTCACTGAAACAGTAACTGTAACTGAATACAGTAGCTCATCATTTGTACTCTGATTACTCTGTACTTGTAATCTATTACTCCTGACCCTGCGTGTGGCTCGTCCAGGACGTCAGAGGAAACTGTGAGGAGACGGAGAGAAAAACCTCTTCAGTCAAACTGTGTTTTTCATTTCAGAGCGTTTTTCTGTGGAAGTGTTTTTTTTAGAGTTTTTAGAGCCGCAGCTCTGAACTCGTCCGAGAAAACGTCAAGAAAATGAAAATGTTCCACTTCACAACAAGAAAAGTATTAACTGAGTAAATGTTCTACTACACAACGAGTACGTGGAGTCTGGAACATTTTATACACTGAAGAAAACCAACTTGAAGTGAATTATTATTATTATGTATTAATTTTATTATTATTATTATTATTATTATTATTATTATTATTATTATTATTATTATTATTATTATTATTATTATTATTATGTATTATTATTATTATTATTATTATTATTATTATTATTATGTATTATTATTATTATTATTATTATTATTATTATTATCATTATTATCATCATTATTATTATTATCATTATTATCATTATTATTATTATTATTATTATGTATTATTATTATTATTATTATTATTATTATTATTATGTATTTATTGTATTATTATTATTATTATTATTATTATGTATTATTATTATTTTATTGTTATTATTATTATTTATTTTTCATTTGTTTTTATTAGAAAAGGTTCACATCTTTATCTGTGGTATTACAGAAAGATCCAATTCCTTTTCAGGCTTTTTTTTTTTACAAAATTGAAAAGTGAATAAATAATAATAATCATAATAATAAAAAAAATAATAAAAAATTTAAAAAGGGAACAAACAAACAAACTAACAACAGTGTGATGTGTCCAACTTGAAAACATTTACCAGACATTGGAACAGTTGGGGTGAGTCCGGTTCATTTACAAAAAGTCCATCAAAATCAGCCCGACAGGGAAAAACAAACTGGATTCATTTTCCCAAATCTTAGAGTTTTTCCCTTTATAACCTTAGAGCGTGTGTCAGTTTCTCCATTTTATAAATTTCTAAAACTGTAACAAAGTGCAGTCCTCAAGTGTCGGGGGGTTGGGTTTAGATTTAGATTTTTTTGATAGAAGAACCTGTAGTAGTTTAATCTCCTCCTCGGTCCAAGTGTTTAGACCCAAATACATCCAGGAAAAGTCGTCCGGTTGCCACGGACACGATCACTGGATAATCTCTGGAACATTCTTCTGGTGGCAGGAAAAAAAGACGATTACAAAAACTGGACGACACAAACTGCTCCATCGATCAAAGACTGGTCAGAAATTATAAATGAAATTAAGAAAATGGAAAAAATAACATTTGGACTTAATTTGAATATGGAGCAAACGGGACTCACACGCTGGACAGGAAGTGACGTAAGATTATTGAAATTTTAATTAAATTTAAATGTGATATAAAAACACTGGATGGAGTCTGTCAAATTTGTTTTCTCTCTACGTCATCTTCTCTGTTTTGTGTTACACGTTGTTCACCTTTTCATCAAAACTAAAGAAAAAGAAAATACATATAAAAAAAGAAAAGTCTGAACGGCAAAAATACCGTTTAGATCTTTATATGTTCCAGACCAGTAAAGTTTTAGTACCGACGTTCCCAAAATACATGAAAATGTTTCGACTCCATAGATCCACATTTCCTCCAACATTCGGCATTTGTATTTTTATTTACTTTGTTGAGGGTCTTAAAGAATCTTATATTTTTCCAACAATGTTCTCTCCATGTCAATGAGCGAGATCAGAAAACTCATGTCATATAAACCCCAAAAATAACAAGTTCAAATATTTGTGCAGAGAAACACAAATCTATTACACAAATCTTTTTTAATTGATGAACTCTTTCTTTTACTAAATATTATAATATTATGAACAACCTGAAACTTTAAGAAAAATACTATTTCAACACAAAGTTTGAACATGAACTTGTCTGTAAACAGAATAAGTCCATTTTTGTTGTAAAATCCTGCACTCGGCTCCACTTTTCTCATGTTGGACATTTTTCTGATGAGGGTGTCACGGTCAACAGTCAAAACCATCGTCCTTTAAGACGTTTGGAAAGAGACAAGTCTTCATTTGTGCTGCTCTGGTGGGAGGGGCCACGTACAGAGACGCTGGAGACGCTGCTGTGATAAACACCACACAAAATTAACACCATTTTAATAGAAAATATCATTCAAATATTTGAGTAGAAAATCAGCCGAGGGCCAGATTAAAGGTGTTGGAGGGCCGGATCTGGCCCCTGGGCCACATGTTTGACACCTGTGCTTTAGAGGAAGTCCACTGGAGTTGCATCATTTCCTGCATGAACATTCTGCACTTTCACATCATCACTGGTCCATTTGATGAGCTTCAAACTTTCTGTTTCGTTTGGTGTCGGAGTTTTAACTTTGTAATGCTCGTTGAAATAATCCGGCATCTGGAGGAACCTGAAGAAGTCGGCCTGTTCCAAACCTTTCTTAAAAAGTGATTTTTTTTTTTAAGTGTAACGTCGCTCTCCCTCCACAGACCCGACTCGGACACGACCTGGATGACCTGAAGTCTCAGAATAAAGATCAGATCTGTTGGGGTTTTAGGACAGATCCAAGTGTCCTGAGTCCTGACATCCTTTTTCTTTTTTTTTTTTCAATTATTTGTTAATTTTCCAAGACAATAATGACACTTCCACAAATGCAAATATAGTTTAAGGATCAAACTTCGTCTTAAACTGAATCTTACAAATAAAACACAGAATTTTTACTGTTATATTGAAAAAAAACAAACAGAAAACTCTATTTGGTAGCGAACAGAACGTTGGGGAAATGAGCTCTCAGATAAAATCCAAAACAAAATCCAAAACTCTTCCAAATCTTTTTGAATTTGTCTGTTTCTGATCTTGGAGCAGAAGTTCATTTCTCCACAACATAAACACGGTGAAACACGTCAAACAGTTTCTTTTCTCGGTGCTTCAGCTTTGAACCGTTTCCTTGTAAGACCTTTTTTTTTTTGCTGCTTTTATCCTGATTTTAAATGTCTCGGGTCCTGAAGTTCAAAGATCAAATCCAGGAGCCGAGGGAAGAAAAGTCAGATTTGTGTCTCTTCAGGTGAAACTGAACAGAGACTTGGTCCAGTTTTGCCTCTGGAGGAAACGACGACAGAAACGAGGAAACACGACGTAAAACTCAGAGTCACATTTTTGTGATTCAGGAAAAAATTCTTGAATCCGACACCGGAGAAACAATGTTTTGTTTGGAAACGACGGCGACGAGACAAAAACCAGCTCCAGAAAAAAAAATCCACTTTCAGCTTTTTTTTTTTTTTATGATTTTTTTATTTTTTCTTCCACATTCAGCAAAATCCAGCCCCAGAAAATCACAAATAAATATTCAAATTCAAACTAAACTCCAAACAAAAACCGTTCAGATGATTTTACAGAATGAGACAAAACAAAACACGTTTGACCAAAATAAGGCAAAAGTCCAGAGTTCAATCTTTGGTCCGTTTTCTGTCAGTGACGAAGTAACAGGTTTGATTTAAAGAGAAAAACTCGTCCAAAACGCCACAAAACCCACTGCACAGACCTGGTCTAGACCTGGTCTAGTCCTGGTCTAGACCTGGTTTAGACCTGGTCCAGTCCTGGTCTAGTCCTGGTCTAGTCCTGGTCTAGCTGGTCTAGTCCTGGTCTAGTCCTGGTCTAGTCCTGGTCTAGTCCTGGTCTAGACCTGGTCCAGTCCTGGTCTAGTCCTGGTCTAGTCCTGGTCTAGACCTGGTCCTAGTCCTGGTCTAGTCCTGGTCTAGTCCTGGTCTAGTCCTGGTCTAGTCCTGGTCTAGTCCTGGTCTAGTCCTGGTCTAGTCCTGGTCCTGGTCTAGTCCTGGTCTAGTCCTGGTCTAGTCCTGGTCTAGTCCTGGTCTAGACCTGGTCTAGACCTGGTCTAGTCCTGGTCTAGTCCTGGTCTAGTCCTGGTTTAGTCCTGGTTCAGTTCTGCAGGTTTGTGATGAGTCGTCCTCTTTAAAACTTTGATGCTTGTTGTCGAGTTTTGTAACATGATTTTCACGGTTCCGGACCCGGACTCGACCGTGAGGTCCAGACCGGACCCGGACTCCACCGTGAGGTCTGGACCTGGACTCACAGCTCCTTTTGGGAGCTTAGACACGATTCTGTCAAAATAAAATAAAATACAATAAAATAAAAGGAAAAAGGCAAGAGTCTCGAGTTCAGCCACAAAGAGCAGCTCAAAAAGTGACACAGCAGTGAAGAGGCAGCAGAGGGCGCTCCAGAACCCGCCCTGGACCAGCCCTGGACCAGCCCAGGACCAGGCCTGGGTTAGTCCTGGTTCAGTTATGATTTAGTCCTGGGTTAGTCCTGGTTGAAACCCAGCTAATTCCTTGTAAAATCCAGGTTTAGTCCTGGTTTAGTCCAGACTAATTCCTTGTAAAATCCTGGTTTAGTCCTGAAGTTTATTAGTCCTGGTTTAGTCTAAGTTTAGTCCTGATAAAGTCCAGGTTTGGAAACACCACAAGTTTTGTTTTGGTTTTTAAGTCCAATTTTATTCCTACAAATGCTCCAACTTAGTCCTGATCATGTCCAGAAAAAGACTCAGTTGATCCTGGTTGAGTCCTGGTTGAGTCCTGGTTGAGTCCTGGTTGAGTCCTGGTTGAGTCCTGGTTGAGTCCAGACTAATTCCTTGTAAAATCCTGGTTTAGTTCTGGTTTAGTTCCTAAAAGAGCGAAGAAAGTGCCGGATTTGAAGCTTCTATTTTTCTAAAAACAGAGAAATGACACCACACGGAGCGCACCTGTCTGCACCTGTCGCACCTGTCACACCTGCAGAGGGCGTGACAGGTGCAGACAGGTGCAGACAGGAGCAGACAGGAGCCTAAAGTCCTCATTAAAAGTCCGTCTGGCGCTCTGAAGGCACAAACGCACACGCCGCCCGTCCCACAAACGTCCCACCGACGCCGCGCCGACGCCATCCCGGCTCCGCCCCCCCGCCATTTCTGATGATGTCACCTCCGCTCCGTCCCGCGCCGATGATGTCACCTCTCCGAGCTCAACATCGAGCGGAAATTATGCAGCTGGTAAATACTCGTCGACACTCTGACAAAACAAAACACAAACAGAAAGAAACGTTTAGAGAGACGGGCAGGGCCGACAGGTGAGGCCGGCAGGTGAGGCCGGCAGGTGAGGCCGGCAGGTGAGGCCGACAGGTGAGGCCGGCAGGTGAGGCCGACAGGTGAGGCCGGCAGGTGAGGCGTACCTGGCGAAGGCGTTGACCAGAGCGACGATCTCCTGGCGGCTGAGCTGGAAGCCTCTGGACGGACTGTTCTCCGGGAGACTCCTGATCTCACGCTCCGAAAACAAGATCTTCAGAGCCGTGCCCAGACCCTGAGTCTGAGACAAAGACCGGGATCACAACCAGACCAGAGACCAGGATTTAACCCGGTCCAGTTTCCATCCTGACCAAACCTAACTGCTTTAGTCCCTAATTCAATCCTGCTCTGGTCCTGATCTGGTCCCGGGTTCGGTCCTCGTCCAGTCTTGGTCCAGTCGTGGTTTAGTCCTGGTTTATTCCCGATCCAGTCCTGCTTTAGTCCAGGTCCAGTCTCGGTCCAGTCCTGCTTCAGTCCCACTTCAGTCCCAGTCCAGGTCCAGTCCCAGTCCCAGTCCAGGTCCAGTCCCAGTCCAGGTCCAGACCTGTAGTTTCCCCCAGAGGCGACACTTGCTGCAGCCGACACAGTCCATGATCTTGGAGATGTTTTTGAAGTGAAGCCTGAACTCCTCCTGAAGAAAAACACAAAAACAAGATTAAAACCAAAACCTCAAGAACCAAAACCTCGAGGAACAAAACGAGCGTCGCTTCAGAACGTGGAGTCGACATTCAGCTCCAAAGACGTGAGAACTTCAGTCGAGAAGAACTTTAAATCTCCTGAATCTAATGTTCCTCCTCACGAACCGACCTGGAGCAAAAGAACTCAACTCCAGGTCTGTTTGTGACGAGGAAACGACACAGGAACAGAAAATGGACTCATATGAAACTTTAGAACCAAAAGTTTGTGGAGCTGAGCCCAAACAAATAATGTCCAGTCCTGGTCCAGTCCCGGGTCCAGGTCCAAGTCCGGGTCCGAGTCCGGGTCCGGTCTCACCTTCAGGGTCTTGGCCTCCAGCGTGTTTCCGGCGAACATGGACCTCTCGTCGAAGTGCATGGGGAACGCCCTGAACACACAGACTCTGCTTAGCAACGCTGTCAATCAAACTGTTACTAAGGCTAGAGGGAGGGGCCTCAGGGAGAGGAGGCACCTGATTGGTCGTTTTTTTATGTTTGGTTCAGTCCTGGTTTAGTCCCTAGTTTAGTCCCTGGTTTAGTCCTGGTTTAGTCCTGGTTTAGACCCTAGTTTAGTCCCTGGTTTAGTCCTGGTTTCATCCTGGTTTCGTTCTGGTTTAGTTCTGGTTTAATATTGGTTTAGTCCTGGTTTAGTCCTAGTCCAGTTGTGTTTTAGTCCCGGTCCAGTCCCGTTTTAGTCCCGGTCTGGTCCAGTTCCAGTCCCGGTCCAGTCTTGTTTTAGTCCCGGTCCAGTCCCAGTCCAGTCCCGGTCCAGTCCCGGTCCAGTCCCGGTCCAGTCCTGTTTTAGTCCCGGTCCGGTCCAGTTCCAGTCCCGGTCCAGTCGTGTTTTAGTCCCGGTCCAGTTGTGTTTTAGTCCCGGTCCTGTCTTGTTTTAGTCCCGGTCCTGTCTTGTTTTAGTCCCGGTCCAGTCCTGTTTTAGTCCCGGTCCAGTCCTGTTTTAGTCCCGGTCCAGTCCTGTTTTAGTCCCGGTCCAGTCCTGTTTTAGTCCCGGTCCAGCCCTGTTTTAGTCCCGGTCCAGACCTGATCTCCTTGAAGAGCCGCAGCAGCAGGTCTTTGGTCCTCAGATCTTCTTGGCTCTTGCCCGTGTACAGGTGAACCACCGAGCGCTCGAAATACGGCGCCACTTTGAAGAGCGCCCGCAGCTCGATCAGGAACAGGAAGTACAGGTTCTTCAGACGCCGCGTCCCCTCCAACGAATCGAACCGCCGACGAAACTCCGACGGGTTCGGACCCCACACGGACCGACCCCAACCCTCTGAGGAGGAGAAGAAGAAGAAGAAGAAGAAGAAGAGAAACTGGTGAACTCAGAGGGAGGAGAGACAGAGCCACCGGGTTTGGATCATTCCAGAAAAATCTTCAAATTCTCCACCAGCTCAGATTTAAAGGTTGTATGGAGGATTTTTTTTTTGTTTCAAATTGTCAATGAAAGTTTAAAATACCATTACAGAGACGCAGCAGCCTTTTAATTATGATGACCGAAAAAAAAAAGAAAGAATGAAAATCTATCAGTTGTGGACGTAGTGAGGCCAGATAAACATCAGCCAATAGAAAACGAGGCTCCCTCTTTTTCTATTGGCTGTTAGGTTGTCAGTCAAACTCCCTACATTTTTAGTGTAACTGACTCGTCGGCGCTCGGGGATTACGTGTTTATGCGGCGGTTCTTTGAGGCTTTTTCAAACTGTCGCTTCCTCGCAGTTTGCACAAAGTTTGTTGCGACGGTGGACGAGAATCCACGACCAGTTCGCCGCAAAAGAAAGTCCGAAGGGTCTAAAAACTGACGCGTCGGTCGCTAAAATATTTCTAGGCAGGTCACTTCAACAGTGATTCTGAACACGCACTGATGTAAACAAATGTGATTTGTAGAGTAAAGAGGCGGGAGGAGGAGATGTTTCTACTGAGGAAGGTGGTGTCACATGCACAACATTTGAAAAAGGACGGTCGCTGTATTTCGCTTCCCTTAAAAAATCCTCTATACAACCTTTAATCTGGAAAAATTCTCGGAGGTTCAAACTTTCCAACAAGAAAACTCCCACATTTTATCTCCAGCTCCTTAAGTTCTGTCAGTACAAATATTTAGTCGACTCCTCCCTGAGATGTTTGAGCAGAGACACTTTCAGATTCTGTATCTAAAAAAGTATTTCAGGTCGATCTTCAGATGTTCAGGGTTAAAAGTGTCAGATGTTTTTGTAGAATCTGGACTTTTCCACAGGAGCTTTTGGTTTATCACAGATTTGTGGGGGAAAATTCTCCTTTTCAAACCTGAGTGAGTGTTCTGAAGGAAAAGTGTAAAGTTGAGTTTGACAGACGGAGGTTTGGTTTTGAACATGAACCTTCACACACTGTGACATTGAGTGCGTTTACATGCACATCAATAACCCGGTTATGATCGGGTTTTTTGAGTGTCCCGGTTTCTTGATGGTGCATGTAAACGCAGTGTCCTGGTTATTAGAAACCGGGTTACTGTAGCTGGTTTATTACGATAGTAACGTGGATACTGTGACATGTAAACGCAGTATCCTGAATACTGCAACATCAAGTTGAGTCGCATGTGTCCAAAAGACACTTTCCAGCCTTTCACCACAACAGTAGTGACATAAATAAATTGACCAACATAAATAAAGTGACCAAACGAGTGAAATGACTGTAAAATAAAGAGCTGCCGCTGCACACTGCACATCTGCACTCGTACGCACTGCACTCGTGTGACGCTGAAAAGATAAAACATGAACTATCTCCTGTACAACAAACATGAACTATCTCCTGTACACACACACAGACAGAACAGACTCACCATCATCAGCACCTCTTCTGTCACAGAAATAACTCACATAATCCACAGAGTCGAGTCATTTAGTCCAAAAGAAACTGATCACATCAGCGACACAAGGAGCAGCTGTTTTTATCACCACTAACAGTTTATGCTAATTAGCCAAACGGTCTTAAGTTTCATTTCTGTAAAACGTAAACAAATGTGATCAGAGTTGAATGATCTGATCAAACCTGCTGATGTGTCTATAGTGTTTATGGTTTATATGTTGTAAAGTTGAGTTTATTTATGCAGAAGATTTGACTGAAGAATCTGTAGGTTTGATGTGTGCAGTGGATTGTGGGAGATCTCGTAGCTCCTTAGCTTCTTATGCTAAAGGAGCTCACGGTTTGTATTTTTCCTGGTTTATGAAATTGATTTAAGTTAATTTTTGCGCCTGCGCATTTGTAAGATTATGTCAAGAAACCGGGACACTCCATTTGATCATGTCCACGTGGATATGAGCGTCCAGGTTTGTCAGTGAACATGTAAACACAGTAACACGAACACTGACAGAACCTGGATATGATTAATAACCGGGTTATTGATGTGCACGTGTACGAACTCACTGTGGACTTTGTGTTTTAAACCTGATCCTCTGAGGAAACATCTACAAGACATGAAGACTTCAAATCAACCAAACACATCTGGAGCATCTGCACCACGTTCTACCAGAAAAATGAAACACCACCAACAGAAAGAAAAACTAGACGTCTGTTTTTAACATGTCCAACATTGGTGATGATGTTTTCTTTTTTGCAAAATGAATTTCTGAAAATGTGTCCACAAACACTGTAACTGATGATAATGTCAGTAGATTTGTTTTTATGATAATAAGTGAGAAGGTTTTTATTTTATTTGTTCAAGTGTTGAGATGTGTCAGAATATTGCAGTTATTGTGTTTTATATTTTATTTGTGAATATATTTGCCTTTTGAGTTGTGTGACTTTTTGCCTTGGCCCCGGAAGAAGAAAAGAGAAAATAGCACGAAAACAGAGAAAAGAGAGAAAAGAGAGAAAAGAGAGAAAACAGAGAAAAGAGAGAAAAGAGAGAAAACAGAGAAAAGGTGTAAAGAAAAAGACATCAAAATAAAACCACGCTGTTGAACTCCCGCTGGTGGTGTAAAGATGAACACAGTAAATAGAGTTTCTATTGTGTATTTATTTAAAGGTGTTTATGAAAAGTGAAGATATTTTCTGTGTGTTTGTTTTAGTTTTCTCTGTGTTTCGTGTGTGTTGATGGAACTGAAGATTGTTGAGAATAAATACTGACACACATCATCATCATCATCATCATCATCATCATCATCATCATCATCATCAGTACGAAGTGTGAAGTCCTTCCTCACTAAGAAAACCAGGGCAGCTACAAACATGAAGAACATTCATGGACCACGAAGACACTTTGAGAAGAAAAGAAAACACTTTAACCCTTGAACATTTGAAGATCGACCTTCAATAGTTTTTTAGAAACAGAATCTGAACGTGTCTCTGCTCAAACATCTCAGGGCAGAAACAACGAACGATTTTTAATAACAAAACTGCAAAGAGCTGGAGATAAAAGATGAGACTTTTCCTGTTGGAAACTTTGAACCTCCAAGAATTTTTACAGACAAATCTGAGACGGTCGAGTGAGACGTTCAGAGATGTGGCTGGAATAACCCAGTAGTAGTAGTAGTAGTTATAGTAGTAGTAGTAGTAGTAGTAGTAATATTCACGTACCATCGAGCAGGTACTCTGCGCTCAGGTGGATGTTGATGCTGCTGTGGAGGCCAGAGATGAGTCTGTAGAACACTCTCTTCTCCAAACACAGACCTGAGGAACACAGAGGAACATCAGAGGAACATCAGGAACATCAGAGAAACACCTGAGCAACACCTGAGCAACACCTGAGCAACACCTGAGCAACACCTGAGCAACACCTGAGGAACACCTGAGCAACACCTGAGGAACACCTGAGCAACACCTGAGGAACACCTGAGCAACACCTGAGCAACACCTGAGCAACACCTGAGGAACACCTGAGGAACACCTGAGAACACAGAAACACCTGAGCAACACCTGAGAGCAACACCTGAGCAACACTGAGCAACACCTGAGCAACACCTGAGCAACACCTGAGGAACACCTGAGCAACACCTGAGCAACACCTGAGGAACACCTGAGCAACACCTGAGGAACACCTGAGCAACACCTGAGCAACACCTGAGGAACACCTGAGCAACACCTGAGGAACACCTGAGCAACACCTGAGGAACACCTGAGCAACACCTGAGGAACACCTGAGCAACACCTGAGCAACACCTGAGCAACACCTGAGGAACACCTGAGGAACACCTGAGCAACACCTGAGCAACACCTGAGGAACACCTGAGGAACACCTGAGGAACACCTGAGGAAGACCTGAGCAACCTGAGGAACACCTGAGGAACACCTGAGCAACACCTGAGCAACACCTGAGGAACACCTGAGCAACACCTGAGGAACACCTGAGCAACACCTGAGCAACACCTGAGCCTGAGCAACACCTGAGCAACGCCTGAGGAACGCCTGAGGAACACCTGAGCAACACCTGAGGAAGACCTGGAGAACCTGAGATGAGACCTGAGGAACCTGTGTATGTTTCTGATGATGTGAAACCTGTGGACACTGTCCTGTGAGGAACGAACACCTGAGAACAGGCTGATCCTGTTCAACTGAGACCTGAAGACCTGAGAGCTGACCTGAGACTCTGCAACACCTGAGAACACCTGAGAACACCTGAGCAACACCTGAGAAACCTCACCTGAGGAACTGCAACACCTGAGAACACCTGAGGAAACACCTGAGGCAACACCTCCTGAGAACACCTGAGCAACACCTGAGCAACACCTGAGCAACACCTGAGGAACACCTGAGGAACACCTGAACACCTGAGCAACACCTGAGGAACACCTGAGCAACACCTGAACACCTGAAACACCTGAGGAACACCTGGAAACACCTGAGAGAACACCTGAGGAACACCTGAGGAACACCTGAGCAACACCTGAGCAACACCTGAGGAACACCTGAGCAACACCTGAGCAACACCTGAGCAACACCTGAGCAACACCTGAGCAACACCTGAGGAACACCTGAGGAACACCTGAGCAACACCTGAGGAACACCTGAGGAACACCTGAGAACACCTGAGGAACACCTGAGCAACACCTGAGCAACACCTGAGGAACACCAACACCTGAACACCTGGAACACAACACCTGAGGAACACCTGAGGAACACCTGAGGAACACCTGAGGAACACCTGAGGAACACCTGAGGAACACCTGAGCAACACCTGAGGAACACCTGAGGAACACCTGAGCAACACCTGAGCAACACCTGAGGAACACCTGAGGAACACCTGAACAGTTTAGTCGTCTACAGACATGTTCATTGGCTGAGTTTAAGTAGATGATTGTAAACACACTGAGGTAACAGTTCAAGTATCGATTCGTGTCAGATTTTCGATATATCTTCTTGATTTTTATAATTATTATTATTTTTTGTTTGTTTTTTATAATATTTGTGTGGTTTATTTGGTGAATTTGATTTAAGTGGTGAAGAAGAAGAAGAGACAGTAAAAGTCCAGACTCACCCTCCAGCCAGTTGTAGAAGGCCTCACCTGAAACACACACACATGAAAAACACACACAACACATGAACATCTGATCTGAACAACTCTGGGGTCACAGGGGGGTCAGAGGAGGGTCAGAGGAGGGTCAGAGGAGGGGTCAGAGAGGTCAGAGTCAGGAGGGAGGGTCAGAGGGGGTCAGAGGGGGGTCAGAGGAGGGTCAGAGGGGGGGTCAGAGGGGGGGTCAGAGGAGGGGTCAGAGAGGGGTCGAGGAGGGGGGTCAGAGGAGGGGTCAGAGGAGGGGTCAGAGAGGAGGGGGGTCAGAGGGGGTCAGAGGGGGTCAGAGAGGGTCAGAGGAGGGGGTCAGGGGGTCAGAGAGGGGTCAGGGGTCAGAGGAGGGGGTCAGAGGGGGTCAGAGGGGGTCAGAGGAGGGGTCAGAGGGAGGAGGGTCAGAGAGGGGTCAGAGGAGGGGGTCAGAGGAGGGGGTCAGAGGAGGGGGGTCAGAGGAGGGTCAGAGGAGGGGGTCAGAGGAGGGGTCAGAGGGGGGTCAGAGGAGGGGGGTCAGAGGAGGGGGTCAGGAGGGGGTCAGAGGAGGGGTCAGAGGGTCAGAGGGGGGGTCAGAGGGGGGTCAGAGGGGGTCAGAGGAGGGGTCAGAGGGGGTCAGAGGGGGGGTCAGAGGGGGTCAGAGGGGTCAGAGGGGTCAGAGGGGTCAGAGAGGGGGTCAGAGGAGGGTCAGAGGAGGGGGTCAGAGGGGGGTCAGAGGAGGGTCAGAGGGGTCAGAGGGGGTCAGAGGAGGGGTCAGAGGAGGGTCAGAGGGGGGTCAGAGGAGGGTCAGGAGGGGGGTCAGAGGAGGGGGTCAGAGGAGGAGAGGGGGTCAGAGAGAGGGGGGAGGGGGTCAGAGGAGGGGTCAGAGGGGGGGTCAGAGGAGGGGGTCAGAGGGGGGGTCAGAGGAGGGGTCAGAGGGGGGTCAGAGGAGGGTCAGAGGGGGGGTCAGAGGAGGGTCAGAGAGAGGAGGGGGGGGGTCAGAGGAGGGGTCAGAGGGGGGTCAGAGGAGGTTCAGAGGGGGGTCAGAGGAGGGTCAGAGGGGGGGGGGTCACAGGGGGGTCAGAGGTCGCGGGGGTCGGACTCACCGTCATCGTCACCTGCAGCAGAAACAGAAAAACAGAAAAGTGTGTTGAGGTTTTCACAGTTTTAAAGTTTTAAAGTGTAAAAGTGTAAAAGTGTGTTTAGTCTGACCTCTGCTGGGGGCCAGAGGATACAGCGGCCGATACACCGAGCGAGGCCTGAACAACACACAACATAGACCTGGTTTAGTCCTGGTTTAGACCTGGTTTAGAACTGGTTTAGTCCCAGTTTAGTCCCAGTTTAGTCCCGGTTTAGTCCCGGTTTAGTCCCGGTTTAGTCCCGGTTTAGTCCCGGTTTAGTTCCAGTCCGGTCCCGGTCTAGTCTTGGTTCAGTCCCGACTCAGTCCAGGTCTAGTCCTGTTCCAGACCTGTTACAGTCCCGGTCCAGTCCTGGCTCAGTCCTGCTCCAGTCCTGGCCCAGTCTGGCTCAGTCGTGGTCCAGTCCCAGTCCCGGTCCCAGTCCCAGTTTGGTCCCGCTCCAGTCCCGGTTTAGTCCTGCTTTAGTCCTGCTCCAGTCCCACTCCAGTCCCATTATAGTCCCGTTATAGTCCCGTTATAGTCCTGTTATAGTCCCAGCCCAGTCCCGGTCCAGTCCCGGTCCAGTCCCGGTCCCGGTCTCACTTGAAGCAGTTTTCTTCGTAGATGCTGTTCCAGACTCTCCAGGCGGAGGAGCCTTTGTACCCGGTGAAACGCTCAGGGTTCAGGAGCAGATCCACGTACTCGGAGTCCGGAGACGTCTCATCTGAGGACACGAGACACAAGAGACTCAGACTGCCCTCCAGACTCAGACTCAAGACGCCCTCCCAGAGACTCAAGACGCCCCCCAGACTCAGACTCACAGACTGCCCTCCCCAGACTCAAGACGCCCTCCCACGAGACTCAAGACGCCCTGACCAAGACGAGACTCAAGACGCCCTCCCACAGACTCAAGACGCCCTCCCACGGACTCAAGACGCCCTCCCACAGACTCAAGACGCCCTCCCACTCAAGACTCAAGACTCAAGACGCCCTCCACAGACTCAAGACGCCCTCCTCAAGACGAGACTCAAGACGCCCTCCCACGGACTCAAGACGCCCTCCTCAGAGACTCAAGACGCCCTCCCAGAGACTCAGACTACTCAAGACGCCCTCCCAGACAGACTCAAGACGACTCCTCCCAGACAGACTCAAGACGCCCTCCCACTCAAGACTCAAGACGCCCTCCCACAGACTCAAGACGCCCTCACCAAGACAGACTCAAGACGCCCTCCCAGAGACTCAAGACGCCCTCCACAGACTCAAGACGCCTCCCCAGAGACTAGACGCCCTCCCAGAGACTCAAGACGCCCTCCCAAGAGAGACTCAAGACGCCCTCCCACAAGACTACTCAAGACGCCCTCCCAGAGACTCAAGACGCCCTCAGAGACTCAAGACAGACTCAAGACGCCCTCCCCAGAGACTCAAGACGCCCTCCCACAGAGACTCAAGACGCCCTCCCAGAGACTCAAGACGCCCTCCCAAGACTCAGAGACTCAAGACGCCCTCCCCAGAGACTCAAGACGCCCTCCCAAGACAGACTCAAGACGCCCTCCCAGAGACTCAAGACGCCCTCCCACAGGACTCAAGACGCCCTCCCAGAGACTCAAGACGCCCTCCCACAGACTCAAGACGCCCTCCCAGAGACTCAAGACGCCCTCCCAGAGACTCAAGACGCCCTCCCACGGACTCAAGACGCCCTCCCACAGACTCAAGACGCCCTCCCAGAGACTCAAGACGCCCTCCCAGAGACTCAAGACGCCCTCCCAGAGACTCAAGACGCCCTCCCAGAGACTCAAGACGCCCTCCCACAGACTCAAGACGCCCTCCCAGACTCAAGACCCTCCCAGGACTCAAGACGCCCTCCCCAGACTCAAGACGCCCTCCAAGACGCCCTCCCAGAGACTCAAGACGCCCTCCCAGAGACTCAAGACGCCCTCAAGACCACAGAGACTCAAGACGCCCTCCCAGAGACTCAAGACGTCCTCCCAGAGACTCAAGACGCCCTCCCAGAGACTCAAGACGCCCTCCCACGAGACTCAAGACGCCCTCCCACAGACTCAAGACGTCCTCCCAGACAAGACGCCCTCAGACTCAAGACGCCCTCCCAGAGACTCAAGACGCCCTCCCAGAGACTCAAGACGCCCTCCCACAGACTCAAGACGCCCTCCCAGAGACTCAAGACGCCCTCCCCACTCAGACTCAGACTCAGACGCCCTCCCAGAGACTCAAGACGCCGGACTCAAGACCCACAGACTCAAGACGCCCTCCCACGGACTCAGACGCCCTCCCACAGACTCAAGACGCCCTCCCACAGACTCAGGTACCCTTCCCGTGCGTCAGGTGCCCCCCCCCCCGTGCGTCAGGTGCGCCCCCGTCTCACCGTCAAGTTCACAGAAGTGCTCTTGGGCGTCGTCATGTCTCGCCCAGTCGGCAAACGCCTTTTTACTCTGATTACTGCGAAACACAAACACAAGAACACGTCACATCAGAGGAACCAAGGACTACTACAAATACTACTACTCCAAGTCCTGGTCCAAGTCCTGGTCCAAGTCCTGGTCCAAGTCCTGGTCCAAGTCCTGGTCCAAGTCCTGGTCCAGACCTCAGAGTGCTGTTGATGGCTCCCAGTTCTTTGGCCTGTTCACACTCGGTCACCTCGGAGTCAGAGTTCGCCGCCTGAGAATACTGAAAAACACAAAACATTTAAACTCTTCTTCCTCTTCTCCTCATTTCACTCTGACTGATTCTGTTTTACAAAACTTCAACTTTTGTCCCACAAACTGAAGAAAAACTGTGATAAACGTCGAGCAGAGAGACTGTGCCCCAAACCACAGGTGGAGGTTCTGTGTGTGAACGTGTCGCAGGTGGAGGTTCTGTGTGTGAACGTGTCGCAGGTGGAGGTTCTGTGTGTGAACGTGTCGCAGGTGGAGGTTCTGTGTGTGAACGTGTCACAGGTGGAGGTTCTGTGTGTAAACGTGTCGCAGGTGGAGGTTCTGTGTGTAAACGTGTCGCAGGTGGAGGTTCTGTGTGTAAACGTGTCGCAGGTGGAGGTTCTGTGTGTGAACGTGTCACAGGTGGAGGTTCTGTGTGTAAACGTGTCACAGGTGGAGGTTCTGTGTGTGAACGTGTCACAGGTGGAGGTTCTGTGTGTGAACGTGTCACAGGTGGAGGTTCTGTGTGTAAACGTGTCGCAGGTGGAGGTTCTGTGTGTGAACGTGTCACAGGTGGAGGTTCTGTGTGTGAACGTGTCACAGGTGGAGGTTCTGTGTGTGAACGTGTCACAGGTGGAGGTTCTGTGTGTAAACGTGTCACAGGTGGAGGTTCTGTGTGTGAACGTGTCACAGGTGGAGGTTCTGTGTGTGAACGTGTCACAGGTGGAGGTTCTGTGTGTAAACGTGTCACAGGTGGAGGTTCTGTGTGTGAACGTGTCACAGGTGGAGGTTCTGTGTGTGAACGTGTCACAGGTGGAGGTTCTGTGTGTGAACGTGTCACAGGTGGAGGTTCTGTGTGTGAACGTGTCACAGGTGGAGGTTCTGTGTGTAAACGTGTCACAGGTGGAGGTTCTGTGTGTGTGAACGTGTCACAGGTGGAGGTTCTGTGTGTAAACGTGTCACAGGTGGAGGTCTGTGTGTGTGAACGTGTCACAGGTGGAGGTTCTGTGTGTGAACGTGTCAACGTGTCACAGGTGGAGGTTCTGTGTGTGAAACGTGTCACAGGTGGAGGTTCTGTGTGTAACGTGTCACAGGTGGAGGTTTCTGTGTGTGAACGTGTCACAGGTGGAGGTTCTGTGTGTGAACGTGTCACAGGTGAGGTTCTGTGTGTGTGAACGTGTTCGTCACAGGTGGAGGTTCTGTGTGTGAACGTGTCACAGGTGGAGGTTCTGTGTGTGAACGTGTCACAGGTGGAGGTTCTGTGCTTTTGGTCTTTTTATTTACACAGACGTCAGGTTTCACTTCAGTGGAAAAAGCTGACGAGGCCTTGACCCCAAAAAAAAAAAAAAAAAAAAAAAAAAAAAAGATAAACTGAACTCAGCCAGAAAACACTAAACACACAAGAGACCTGCTGTAGTCCAGGTTTAGTCCTGCTGTAGTCCAGGTTTAGTCCTGCTGTAGTCCAGGTTTAGTCTGCTGTAGTCCTAGTAGCTGCTGTAGCCCAGGTTTAGTCCTGCTGTAGCCCAGGTTTAGTCCTGCTGTAGTCCAGGTTTAGTCCTGCTGTAGTCCAGGTTTAGTCCTGCTGTAGTCCAGGTTTAGTCCTGCTGTAGTCCAGGTTTAGTCCTGCTGTAGTCCAGGTTTAGTCCTGCTGTAGTCCAGGTTTAGTCCTGCTGTAGTCCAGTTTAGTGCTTAGTCCTGCTGTAGTCCAGGTTTAGTCCTGCTGTAGTCCAGTTTAGTCCTGCTTAGTCAGGTTTAGTCTGCTGTAGTCCAGGTTTAGTCCTGCTGTAGCCCAGGTTTAGTCCTGCTGTAGTCCAGGTTTAGTCCTGCTGTAGTCCAGGTTTAGTCCTGCTGTAGTCCAGGTTTAGTCCTGCTGTCCAGGTTTAGTCCTGCTTAGTCCAGGTTTAGTCCTGCTGTAGTCCAGGTTTAGTCCTGCTGTAGTCCAGTTTAGTCTGCTGTAGTTTAGTCCTGCTGTAGTCCAGGTTTAGTCCTGCTGTAGTCCAGGTTTAGTCCTGCTGTAGTCCAGGTTTAGTCCTGCTGTAGTCTAGGGTTAGTCCTGCTGTAGTCCAGGTTTAGTCCTGCTGTAGTCTAGGGTTAGTCCTGCTGTAGTCCAGGTTTAGTCCCGGTTTAATCCTAAATTAGTCTCGGTTGAGTCCTAGATTAGTATCGGTTGAGTCCTAGATTAGTCCCGGTTGAGTCCTAGATTAGTCCCGGTTGAGTCCTAGATTAGTCCCGGTTGAGTCCTAGATTAGTCCCGGTTGAGTCCTAGATTAGTCTCGGTTGAGTCCTAGATTAGTCCCGGTTGAGTCCTAGATTAGTCCCGGTTGAGTCCTAGATTAGTCCCGGTTGAGTCCTAGATTAGTCTCGGTTGAGTCCTAGATTAGTCCCGGTTGAGTCCTAGATTAGTCCCGGTTGAGTCCTAGATTAGTCCCGGTTGAGTCCTCTTACCTTGTTGTAGTTCCCAGACTTGATTCCCACAGGCACTTTACTCTGCACAAACACAAACACAAACAAAACATAAACACAAACGTTACACACAGGTAGTTTTATCAGTGACGTAACAATAATGGAAATATCGTGATATCGTATCGTTCGAACTGCATCCCGATATATCGAATCACAACTTTCTCTGCTTAAACTCATTATTACGGCGCAGCTACAGATAAACACAGAGAACTACACAGACCATGATCCTTTGCGGTTTCAGGCCGATCTGCAGGATGAAATAAACAAACATCGCAATAAAACTCGTGAAAATATCGATTATTATTATTATTAAATAATAATTAATTATTATTAAATAATAAGTTTATTCGAACAATCGAATAAACTTTAAGAACAAACAGACCTGACAATCCTGAAAATGTGTCCTCGATACGTATGTGTATTCTAAAATGTACTGTATGAATGTGCTTGTTTTTTCTTAAGTTACTAACTTATTATTTATTTATTATCGTCATTATTATTGCTATTATGTTATTTATTTTATTATTATTTTGTTTTTGTTTTTTTGTTAAGTTTTTATTTTTTTCTTATTTTTTAAATCTACTTTCTAGAACAAAGAACAAACAGACGCCCAACCAATCAGAGACGGAGAAGAGAGCATAAAGCCCGGCTTTTTCAGAGGAACACTTCTGATTGGACTTCTGACTGGACGGTTCTGGACGGTTCTGACTGGACGGTTCTGACTGGACGGTTCTGGACTGTTCTGACTGGACGGTTCTGACTGATTCCAGTGTTGCAACAGTAAAAGGAAAAATTAACCAAATCTAACCAATCTAACTACAATATTAAAAATACTAGAGTTAAGACGAGCTGTGATTGGTCAGAGAGGAGAGGGCAGGTCTGTGATTGGCTGTGGTGTTTTTGTGCAGGTTTATGATTGGCTGTGGTGTTTTTGTGCAGGTCTGTGATTGGCTGTGGTGTTTTTTTGCTTCTGTGATTGGCTGTGGTGTTTTTGTGCAGGTTTATGATTGGCTGTGGTGTTTTTGTGCAGGTCTGTGATTGGCTGTGGTGTTTTTGGGGCTCTCCTGTGATTGGCTGTGGTGTTTTTGTGCAGGTCTGTGATTGGCTGTGGTGTTTCTGGCAGGCTCTTCTGTGTAACTTGCCTCGGGGCAGGGCTCCACGTGACAGTCTTTGATGGCGCAGTGACTGTCGTCCGCCCAGAAGGGACAGGGCCTCTTCAGATTCACCTGGAACACAAAAACACTCAGATCTCCGTGTTTGTCTCCGTGTTTGTCTCCGTGTTTGTCTCCGTGTTTGTCTCCGTGTTTGTCTCCGTGTTTGTCTCACCGGAGGCACTTGTCTGTCTGAGGCTGTTTGACTTTAATCTGAGTTTTATTTGAACACGCCCTGACCGTAAACACACGACTCACACAGATTTGTTTGTTTAATTCACTTTGGTTTAATTTTGTTTGTTCTGTCATGTTCTCCAGGACGGAGCAGCTCGAACTACGTTTAGTGTTACCGTTTTCTAAATGACTGTATTTTATATTTGATTTAACCGATACAGCCCCCAAAATGATGTTCAGGAATTTAAATTAAAACCTGTCATTTAAAGTAATTAAAAATAACGACATTCAAATTAATAATATAAAACTGCAAAATGAATATGATAAAAAATAATGTGGTCATTTTAAATAATGAAATTTAAACTAAAAATATTAAATGTGATAATAAAAAAAGGAAAGAGATAAGAATTACACCTGATCAAAAGAAGAAAAAGGGATCAAGAAATTATAGGTCAAATAAAACACCAGAACACTAGATAAATGAACATGAACATTATTTATTTGCTTTTTATTATTATTATTATTATTATTATTATTATTATTATTATTATTATTATTATTATTATTTTTGTAATTATGATTTCCACTGAGTCACCATAAGAAAATTAAATTAAAAAAATTAAAAAAAGAAAATTACAAAAAAAAAATAAATTGGAACCAGATACAGTCTGTGGGAGGGACTTAGAACTCTACCAGGTCTAAACCAGGACTAAACCATTATTGTTTTTTTTTTTAATTATTATTACTTTGTAATTATTATTATTTAGATTGAGTCAATTTAAGAAAATTTAAATTAAAATTACAAAAAAGAAATTGAGCCAGATACAGTTTGTGAGTGGAACTTGAAGCTCTATGGACAGGTGCGAGACAGGTGCGCGACAGGTGCGAGACAGGTGAGAGACAGGTGTGAAACAGATGCAGAACAGGTGTGGGACAGGTGTGGGACAAGTGTGGGACAAGTGTGAGACAGGTGTGGGACAGGTGTGGGACAGGTGTGGGACAAGTGTGGGACAGGTGTGGGACAGTGTGGACAGGTGTGAGACAGGTGTGGGACAGGTGTGGGACAAGTGTGGGACAAGTGTGAGACAGGTGTGGGACAAGTGTGGGACAGGTGTGGGACAAGTGTGGGACAAGTGTGAGACAGGTGTGGGACAGGTGTGGGACAGGTGTGGAGACAGGTGTGGGACAAGTGTGGGACAGGTGTGGGACAGGTGTGGGACAGGTGTGGGACAAGTGTGGGACAGGTGTGGGACAAGTGTGGGACAAGTGTGAGACAGGTGTGGGACAGGTGTGGGACAGGTGTGAGACAGGTGTGGGACAAGTGTGGGACAGGTGTGGGACAGGTGTGGGACAGGTGTGGACAAGTGTGGGACAAGTGTGAGACAGGTGTGGGACAAGTGTGGGACAAGTGTGGGACAGGTGTGGGACAAGGTGTGGGACAAGTGTGGGACAGTGTGGGACAGTGTGGACAGGTGTGGGACAAGTGTGGGACAAGTGTGAGACAGGTGTGGGACAGGTGTGGGACAGGTGTGGGACAAGTGTGGGACAGGTGTGGGACAGGTGTGGGACAGGTGTGAGACAGGTGTGGGACAAGTGTGGGACAAGTGTGGGACAAGTGTGGACAGGTGTGGGACAAGTGTGGGACAAGTGTGAGACAAGTGTGGGACAGGTGTGGGACAGGTGTGAGACAGGTGTGGGACAAGTGTGGGACAGGTGTGGGACAGGTGTGGGACAAGTGTGGGACAAGTGTGGGACAAGTGTGGGACAAGTGTGTGAGACAGGTGTGGGACAGGTGTGGGACAGGTGTGAGACAGGTGTGGGACAAGTGTGGGACAGGTGTGAGACAGGTGTGGGACAGGTGTGGGACAAGTGTGGGACAAGTGTGAGACAGGTGTGGGACAAGTGTGGGACAAGTGTGGGACAGGTGTGGGACAGGTGTGGGACAAGTGTGGGACAAGTGTGGGACAAGTGTGGGACAGGTGTGGGACAAGTGTGGGACAAGTGTGGGACAAGTGCGGGACAAGTGCGGGACAAGTGCGGGACAAGTGTGGGACAGGTGTGGGACAGGTGTGGGACAAGTGTGGGACAAGTGTGGGACAGGTGTGGGACAAGTGTGGGACAAGTGTGGGACAAGTGTGAGACAGGTGTGGGACAAGTGTGGGACAAGTGTGGGACAGGTGTGGGACAGGTGTGATACAGGTGCGGCGCAGACACAGGAGGAGGAATGAGGACAAACTGGATCTGAAGTGTAACAGGAAACAGGCCACTTTTTTCACACACACACACACACACACACACACACACACACGGCCCAGTTCCGGCCCAGTCCCAGTCCCGGCCCAGTCCCACGGTCCAGCCCAGTCCACGGTCCACGGTCCAGTCCACGGTCCAGTCCACGGTCCAGTCCACGGTCCAGTCCACGGTCCAGTCCACG